GTGGTCCATTCGCAAACTTTATAACTAAAAAAACTTTTCACTACTCTCTATCGACGAACTACTAACACTCTCTGCTGTTTCCTCCTCCTTCTTCCTTCCTTCCGCTGTCTTCGTTGGTTCATTTATACACGCGAAATGCGTTCTCTGGCTGGCTGGATTGTCCACTCGGTCTGCCATACATACATGGCGGCGCAAGATGGCGACCTCTCTAAAGCAAGGCCCTTGATATGTATATATATGAAAGCATAATTATAAGGCTACGAAAACCAAACGAATTTTATTTTATAGCGATCATACACTTGTATAAACATATTAATGGGTAGAATATTCAGATTCAGATTCAGAATGACAATAAACCATGCCATACATTACACACTGGCACTTTAAGAATATCTCTGGAATGCTGTGGTCTTGAAACTCTAAGTAGCCCCTGCTTCACCTTTTTAATTTAGCTTCTTGACACGGAAATTAATTAGTAGTATACAGCTTTTATTTTATTTTATTTATTTATTTTTAATCAGAAGGGTATTTAATCTGAGTCAAATACAGAAAGGAACAAATATCATTGCAACATCTTTAGACAGAACTATGTCAATAAGAGCAAAACTGTAAAAACTTAAAAAATTAACAGAATTTAACGTCCTGTATTTGTCCCTCACACCGTCTAAAAACTGGATTTACAGATACTTTTTATCTTGTCTTCATATGTCATAATTCCGACTTGTGCAGAAAGCTCACACACATTTCATTTTTAATCAGCTCTCACAAATTAAAAATAAATTCAAATGCTGGACAGTTGTGTCTTTAAAGAAGAAAAACGAGGAGCGTCAGTCGGCATCTGTCATCAGCTGCAGATTTAAAGGCTGCTGAGGAGGAAAACAATCATTAATACAGAGCTATAAAACCAGACAGTGATGTACACACCATGACCTCATCCATCTCTCACACACACACAGTTAGGATATGATATCATGCTGAGGATTAGTAATCAACTCATTGATGAGTTTCCCTGGCAGACGTTAACTGTGTGTGTGTGTGTGTGTGTGTGTGTGTGTGTGTGTGTGTGTGTTTTCCATCTGTAGTTTATTCATAAACTGTGAAGTAAATTATTTTGTCTTTAGACATTTAAATGGTCGGTTAAATTTTCATACCATATATTTTATGAAATATGTTTCAGTCTGTCTTTGACACTGTTTTGACACAGTTTTTTGCTTTTTACTGTCTCCAGAAGCAGCAGAAAGATCTCCAGCCTCTGTCTACAGCGCAACATCGCCCTCTAGCCGATACAGAGAGAGTTGTCCCTATAAGGGTCTAGTCAGACTATCATGTGTCTTTCACTGCGGACACTTCTGGTCACCCTGTCATAAAGCCCAGATCAGTGCAGTTTTGTAGTGATGGTTGCCTCTCAGAAAGACATTCATAAATTGCTTTATTTTGTACTTATATTGGTTAGATTTTATTATTGAATATTTATTTTCTCTTACATTTGTGCCCTCATTCTCATTGTAAGTTTGTAGATTTGTTTCAGTGTTTGGGGGTCATATATGAAACGGGGGAGGTTGGGGTTCCGTTTCCAGAAAATATTGAGCATCAAACACTAAAGTTACTGCTTTCTGGTTACGCATGAATTTTTTGAAAGTTGTGTGCAAATGGTGCTGAAGAAATATAATGTCAAGTCCAGCTCAATGTGCTCTACAAAAAAGCCTTGAGAATCATGAAGGGACAACAGGTAATGTTTTCCACCATTTAAAATTTTGACATCTTCTCCTAACGCGTAGGTCCGATTTGTACCAAAGTTTCTGTGGATCATCACTGGACAAAGCTTATCAAAAGCTATCAAAAGCTTGCTGATATCTCATTGCATTTTGATGATATTGACCAATGAACTTTAGAGAGGGCTTGGCTCAGCACATAAATGGACCTAACTTCTTACCTCTAGAGCCAATCATCACAAAATTATACACACTGAAAGTTGTACTCAAATTGATCACGAGAGAAATGCAGAAAGTTTATATCGTGTAATCAGCTCATAGAGATTTGTACGAAATTCGGTTTGCATCATATAGGATCATGTTTCAATCGATGCACAAAAGTTGGAAATGATTGCTGAAAGAGGGCGTGGCTTATTACAATGAATCAAAATTTCAAGACATTTCACATTTGTCATTCATTCTTCACAACTTCAAAAAATCATGATAAATCACCAGTACGTCCTGCTGACATTATTTCAGCACATCCACTGAACTGTGACAGAGTCTGCCTCACGGCAACCTAAACTCAATTCAGAAATCTGTCACTCTATATTTTTCCACTGGTTAAAACGTACCTGCTTTTGTTGCCACAAACATGGCTCAAAAAATCTCGACATCTCAAAAAAACAAAAAAAACAAAAAACAAAACAAAACATAATACCCACTTTTGTTGTACGTGAATAGTAGTGTGCTGCTTAACTACCATCTCGACTAGGTTTCATGCCACCCACCATGCCCTCCTCCTCTTGCACTGTACATACACACATTTCCCCCACAGCTGCATCTGACTAAAAAGACTTAAAATAACAAATGTTTTGGTTTGAAGCTAAATTAAAGATGTTATGATATTGACTGGCAGCACAATTATGAGCTTAAACATAAACAGGTAAGTATCAAAGTGATACAGGGCACAAAAAAAGTCAAACAGACGTGTTTTCCCTCAGGTGAAGGTGAAGCCACCTGTGTGTTTACAAATGAGTTGGTTTAGTGCCCTACACCCTCACATCTCCTCAGGGACAGTTAGTAACCTGCAACAACATGTGACAACGTCTGTTTTTATGACTCTGAACAGCCTTCAAACTTTAAACATTTACAGCTCTGCAATTAGATGGTTAATCTGAGAGCTGAGGGCCTCGGTTGGTCAGCAGCTGTGTCAGGTTGTTTCTGTCACAGGTCAAATTTCCTTTTGCCAGTTTCAGTTGGTTAACATTGGTGTTTCTGGGTAAAATGTCATAAATCTGCAGAGGCTTCATACAACAAAAAAAATCATGTTTGAGCTTTCTTCAGTGGCAAATCAACTCTGACTGGCCACGTCAGAGAATGGAGCAACATGGGGCATCAGAGTGAGACAGACTCTGGGCTGTTCTGACACAAATTGTTTTGTTCGTTGTAGCTCTTTACAACAATTCACCACAACAACACAGTGAGCATGCCTTATTGCATGACCCAAATCATTTTTTTTACTAAAACATTACTGCTTTTACATTTGAAATAGTACCACAAAAAGCAGTTTTTCTTTCCTTTTTTCTTTCACTAAGACTGCTGTGTTTCCAGTTCAGTTGAAAAAGAACCACACAAAACACTTTTGTTCTTTTTTGACGGACATCACTGCATTTCCTGCCAGAATAGTGCCACAAAAAGCTTTTTTTCTGTTTTTTTAAGACCGCTGCATTTTAACAAAAAAACAGTTTTGGTTTTTTTTTGCCAAGACTGCTGCGTTTCCATTCGAAAAAGTTTTTTTTCCCCTTTTTCTTTTTTTCCATTACTGAGACATTGCTGCGTTTCTTGTGTCACATGTCAAATTTCCTGCCAGAACAGTACAACAAAAAGCACTTTTTTGTTGTTTTTTTCCCCCTTTTTCCACAAAAAATGTTTTTAATTTAGATTTTTTCATTTCACTAAGACCGCTGCATTTTCAGCTCAGTTGAAATAGTAGCTTACCACAAAAAAGCACTTTTGTTCTTTTTCTTTTTTTTTCCTTTACTGAGACATCACTGCATTTCCTGCCAGAATAGTGCCAGAAAAGCGTTGTTTTTTTTCTTTTCCTTTTTTTACCAAGACATTGCTGCATTTCCTTCTGGAATAGTGCAACAGATTTTTTTTTTTTTTTACAGAGACAATGCTGTGTTTTCTGCCAGGACTGTGCCACGAAAAGCTCTTTTATTTGTTTTTCACCACCACCACCAGACATCTCTGTTTCCAGCCGGAGTAGTGCCACAAAAAGTTGTCGACAGCTTCTCCTGCCATGATTGTGCACCAAAACCGAATATTTTAAGCCAATATAAGCCGATTATTTTAAAACTGAGTGGGTTTTGTTTGCTGCTACATTATAATATATAAATATAACATATTTGTGGTTTGCAGAAAGGTTCAATGCCAACAATGCAATGCCTGTTGTTAGCACTGAGCTAAATCCCACCATGTTTCAGTACAGACTTACAAAGCTTTAAGAATGACTTTAGACTTTTAGTCTGGATTGTTTCTTACAGTAGTATAAAAACATTTTCAGCTTATTTGGTAAATTTGTGATGATTGCAGAAACAGATACTCTGTGGCGTCTTTTAAATGACTGAACATAAATTTATTTTGCATCCATGTTTTATCAGCAGTGTTTAGCAGAAAACAATTTACCAAATGCTTGATACCAATTTAATGTGGCAATTCACAAAAAGATGACAGAAACAAAGGCAGAAATAAACCCCCTGACACTGAACAAAACTACATCAAACTCCAGCAAAAAGAACAGAATGCTAATGGAAGCTGCTGCCGCCTCCACCCCTCTATCGCTCTCTCACTTTTACAGAATGCCCTTGATGTTCTCAGTCTAACTGGAACGTACCACCTGCACAGGTAAATACAGGGTGAGTTGAACAGAAATCAAGCATCAGAATCACACAGAATAATACACAAAACACTGATGAAAGATTTCTCTGACATCACAATGTACCAGTGGGCTAACATACATACAGATGAGGGCATTAAGAGAATATCATTTACAACAGATCTATTTGACTTGTCGTCCTGCATGTTAACAGGCCCAGCTGCTGCCTGCTGATGATGCAAACCTGTTTTTACTTCCTGTCTTTGAGCAGCTGAAGGACATAATCAAAACAAGCGTGTTATTTATATAACCTGACTAATAATTTATCAAATGAAACAAATAATTAAACAGACAAAAGGAAACATGTCCCCAGTGAAACCTTTTCACAAACTGATTAAATGGAAAAACAAACCACAAGAGAACAGAGCGTTAGTTTATTTTATCTTTATCAAATTCATTTCTACAAACATAAAAGGCAAAAGTTCAAATGTGTCATTTCATCAGAGAGGATGGAATTAGAAAGACATACTTACATATTTAAATAAAAAACAACAACAACAAAGGCATACTGTTTTAATCTTATTTACATCGTTACCTTGAGTTACCACAGACTGCATGCTGTCACACTCAGCTGTGTGTGTGCTGGAAATTCATTTTTAAAGGTCTGACGGTAAAAAACAAACATGAAACAAGTGAATATTTTAATATTTTGACTGATCAGGTCGGTGGTTCTTAACTGGATCTGAAACTCAAATTCTGCCCTGATCAAACGTCACAATCACATTTTCTTTTTAAATTGATCTAGTGATTTTTTCCCCCCCAGTCCTTAACACAAAGAACAGAATTTAAACTCCAGTTCATGATCCAAGAAATGTTGACCAACTTCACATTTTATTTCATAATGTTATTATTTCTACAGGGACAATACATAAATGATTAGTTGCTAAATTGATCTGATTGATACACCTATTCTGATGATTAGTCACAGTTCAAGTTACTTTCCGAGGCAAAAAAGCCCCCAAAATTTACTGGTTTCTGCACAAAAGTGAATATTTGCAGATTTTCTGTTCCCTTTACACAATATCAAGAAGTCAGTTTGGGTTTTAGGATATTTCGATCTGCATTTATGAATATTTTCAGACATTTTACGAGCCAAATTTTTCTCTGATTTATTGAGTTAATAACTGAAATATTTAATGATGATTAAAAATAGCCATTGGTTGCCAACAGTGACTGAAACTTCACAAAAAAACAACCATTTTGTCCACTGCTTTAGGCAGAAAGTAAAGACATCCCCCCCTGTCCGTTAAGAACCACCAGCCAGATGAGTAATATTGCCCAAAAACATTTTACATACAATCCTTTAAAAAAACAAAAAAGGAACAAACTGTTGTTTCATAAGAACATGACTCAGCTGTTTCCACCCACTGCTCTTCAAAACACACATTGAACTGCATATCCACTTTTCATGTTTGCATTTCTTGACACCATGAGTAACAAATTCGATCAGTATAAAAAAAATGACAAAGAACAAAACACAATTTTTAAACTTTTTTTACCAGACATGGAGGAGCAGCAGCGTGCAGCACAGCAGGGTGGAGAAAACACAGAGACACACGAACAAAAAGGAAACCAGTGATGAAAATAAAGTTTAAGTTATTAGTAGTTAAAGGAATAATTCGGCATTTTGGGAAATGCGGCTTTTTGCTTTCTTGCCGAGTCAGACGTGTGTACGGTAAATATGCTTGTTAGCTTAGCTTAGCATAAGGACTGGAAACAGAGGGGAAACAGCTATAGCCTGGCTCTGTCCAAACAAGGTAACAAAAATCCAACAATTCGCTCCTCTACAGTTCACTGATTATAAAGGTGTCTGTTTAATCTGTACAAAAATCTGAGAATAAAAACCACAATTTATTGTTATGTGCCGGACTGCTCCTTAACCAGTGAACAAAAAAAGCAAATTCCAAAATATCCAACTTCTCTTTTCTCACATTGAATTTGGATTTTTTTTTTTTTAGCAAACATGAAATATTAGGTAGTTCTTAAATGGCAAAAATGTAAATAGATAACCTCAGTTTTAATTTCTGTGATTGTCGACCTTTGTGTTAAAGTTTTATGATTCTGAACTCTTAAAGGGCCTCTCCAACAATTTAGTATTGCACTTTAATCAATTTGATGAACTTAAAGAGACATGAGGAATAAGTGGGTGGAAAGAATATGTGCCACAGAGATATTCTGAGTTTTGACCAGATCCACACTAATATCTTACATTTTAAAACGGCCCTTTTATACGAAAACAATCTGCCATACACACGAGTGTTTTCACAACAATCTCCGTCCACACTAACAAGCCTGAAAAAGCACGACCATATGTGTATGCTGGGCATGTGATATGCCTCTGTGGTTTGGTTGCTCAGTAACAGAAAATACTGCTGAGATGACAAAAAGGTAAGACCAGAGGTTTATTTGCCTGGACTGATGACAAGTTGGAACTGGTACTGACGGTTTCATCAGTATAAGAGCTCAGCGTTAGATACCTATACGGAGCCTTCTGCCTGCAGTCTGTGTTCATTTCGTCTGTATTTATGCACATTTAAAGCTCACAGACACAGACAAAATGCAGCATTACCACTACAGACTGTGGCAGTGTAGTGTAGATCAAGCGAGATTCGACTGAAAGACATGATGAAGACATTTTTAAAATGACAGAACGAATCAGTAGTATAGTGAGGGAATTCTCTGTCCGCATGTAGCGATGTATCAAATGGCCGAACAAACACCACCTATCTACAACGCTGCCTCCATTAAAAGGTAAATGACTATGACGTCCTCCACTGTCGCCATCTTTGTTGTTGTCAGAAACTTTAGAATCTGCCCTCTAGTGCAGTTTTTCCCAACTGATCGGGCCACGGGGTCGAGATTTCTCCTCAGTCATTAGTTCAAGGTCAGCACAGTTTAATAATATTCAGCCTCATATTTCTGGAAAGTTACTATACTTCAAAATAAAGTGTGTTTTTTACAAACTTTTACACCGTGACCAACCAGTTGGGAACCACTGCTCTAGCACCATCTATTGGCTGTATTTATGCCAATATAAAGGACGCATGGAAATATAAGAGCAGTGACATTTACAACATTTGAAATCTATTTGTATCTATTTTCATACGTGAAGGAAATATAATTGAGTGACATATTATCACAGTACGAGGAGCATTATCCATTCTCAGAGGAAGCCATGACTAAAATGCAAGCCCGGAGGTTTCAAACTAAAATGCGGTCAGCAGTGTTTTCAAAGGTCTCTTTTTTTAGGGGTTCCAAAATGCCGGAGTAGTGTGGGCGCTAGGCGTAAAGGTACCAATAATTCTGCACTTTAAAATGATAATGAATTAGTGTGGATGTAGGCTTAGTATAAAGTACAAGTGAAGCCCCCAACCACTGGATCCTACATTTCCCATAATGCAACTCAGCAGTCTCTTTTGATAAACCCTCATAATCAGGGTTACTTTTCAGACTTCGAAAAGTCTCTCCAGAACCACAGAGGATCCTACATTTCCCATAATGCTGAGTGAAATGACTTTGGATGTGTAAAATTGTTGGAGTGACTCTTTTAAGTTTATAGATTCGATGAGAAAATTGGCAAAAACACAAAGACAAGAACAGAAAACAAGTTTTGGTGTGAAACAAACAAAAAATCAGAATCAGATTCATCTCTTGGTCAGAGGAAAAAAGTGTTAAAGACTCAAGACAAACTCCATTTTACAAGTAAAACGTGTGTCTTGTTTGTCTTGTCTTTTCTGGGATGGTTTCAGTATATTCTCTGAAAACAAAACAAATCATAACCTGTTGTTAGCTGAAACTTTCTACAGCTTTACTCTGTACAATAAAAAAAATCTGTGGTTATATTTTCATAAATATATTTTACTTTCAGGAGAGAATGTCCTGAGTTCATACTGTGAGCACAGAGTGAGTAACGGTGGTTGGTCCACTCAACTAAACACAAGAATAAAAAATATAAAATTCAACATTTTTACCCTCCCAGCCTTATTACTCCACTTTATTCTATTTTTAGTATTTTTTTTTTTACTTTTTACTTTTTGTTGTCAAAAGATCAAAAGACAAAGAAATAAAAAATTATAAAAAAGTGGCAAAAGCAAACAAAATATCTACAGAGGGAACACTGATATTTACAACTATTAAATAATCCCCATTCAAAACAATATGATTTTCCATAAAACCAAAGAAATAAACATGAATAAGAAAGGTGACAGATGCAACATGAAGCAGGATCTTAGTGATTCTTTATTTTTGTGTGCTGGATGCAGAAAGAGTTGTCTGTCTTTTGTGTTTTAACATACTTGGTAAACTTTTTTAAGGCTTTTAAACTGTTGTTAGCCTTTATCAGTTTATATTTGAGCTAACTGACACCAATAGAAGTATGCTATATTACCTATTAGCAGTGTACCCATTAATGAACAGACAACTATCATTGTATTAATTTCATATGCAGAAAACTTGAAAAGTTTGTCTTTTTTTTTGGAAGATTTCTAAGAAGATTTATAGACATTTATTCTCGATGGACATCAGAGATAATTTATATCCTTGGAAACTGCACTGCAGCCTTTTTCACCACTGCCAGCTGCAGTGTTCTTGCTCAATACTGGACCCAATTTGAAAAAAAAAAAAAAACCGCTGTTCCTGTGAGTCACTTAGACACCAAAGCATGAGAAAATTGGGTCCAGGTTGAAAAATAACTAATGTATCCTTTAAGATCCCGCTTCATGCAGCAGGCGTCAGTGCTGATATTCAGACAGTTCTACAACTGAGAGTCACAACAACAAAAATAAACAAACTTCACAGAAACCTCTGCTGAGAGCCAGAACATCAGTAGTGTCGAAAAATTACAGGACTGAGTTCATCCTGCTGGAGCTGCACAGTTAATAATTACAGCCTCTATTGCTATAGACTGATTTATTGCTGATCAGAAGATTTCACTCTCAATCAATTACAACATGAGATTAGTTGAAATGCATAAAAATATTGATCCTGATATCTACAAATCATTTCCTTTTCGAGTGTAACTGTGCAGCCCGGCGGTGCCACCTGTTGGTTGAACCCGTTACAACCTGCTGAGCTCTGAGACGACCAGTGACAGTTTGTTAAAGGGCGAAAACAAACTGTCTCTTTAGATGACATAAAATCACTTCAGCATCTACATAAACGGCCCTGCCAGTGTCCTGTCCTCCGTGCTTCATTCAAACTGTACACTCTCACAATTAAATATTAAAACGTAGGGTAAGTGCGGTGTGCTGACAGGTCTGCGTCTGGCTTTCATTTTTAGAAATGTATTCTTACATATTAGGACATTATCTTCAATGGGAAACTTTTTGTAAAGTTTACAACCCCAAATCTTTTGAGTTTAGTGACAGTAAACATCCCTGTTACAATAACAGCTCAAATTACTGATTAAAGCCTTTTGCAAGTGTTTGGTGGAGGTTTTCTTAAGTTTTCCTGGAAAGAGCAGACGTGTGTTTGTTACCTGTCCCACAGATGATGAAGATGTTTTTTCCCCAAACATAAAACCATCTCCCTGTTTCCCCATCGCATCCTTTTCTTCTTTCCACATCACCATGGCGACATCTCATCAGACACCTTCTGATTGGCTGATTAAATATTCTGCTCTCTGTCTGCGGGCGGGTAAAGGTTGCCTCGGAGATGATGATGACGAGGAGGAAGATGAAGAAGAGGAGGAGGAGGGGTGATGGTGGTGGCGCCCTCGCAGCGAGGTGTGGTTGCCGTGGTGATGATGGTTGTGGTGGGAGGAGGAGGGGGGAGGCGGAGGCGGGTCGCGGAGAGATGGCGGGACGGCGGAAGACTTGATAGGGACGATGCGGGTGTCCATGACCTCGCAGTCGACCTGCATCATCATCTCATAACCCTGAGAGGAGTTATAGAGGCTCTCTGAGGGGATGAGGGAAGAGGAGAGAGATGTAAGGAGAAAGAAAGGAGGAGAAAAAAAGGAGCAGAGGGAGAAAGGGAAAGAAGGGGTGAGGAGGAAGAGAGGAGGGAGTGAAAGGTTTAAGAGGGAGAAAAAGATGGAGAGAAAAAGAAAAGGAGTTAAAGTTAAACAAAATAAACTGCAATCATCATCATATTTTTTCCCCAGCTGTTTTCTGTATTATGAAAGTATTTACAGGAGCGGTGTGTAGGATTTAGGAGGACTTAGTCGTGGCGAGGATTGCAGATTGCAACCAGCTGAAACTTCTTCTAGTTAGAAGACCAGCTGTAGTCAGAGGAAAAATAACTTCATTCACTGGGCCGACTGCCGGCAACTTTTAACTTGGAATGTTTACTTGTAATGTTACTCAATGCATGAGTTGACAACATGACTCCATCAACACACCTTAAATTTCAGTGTGACAACTTTGAGCAATACTTTAGTTTTTATTGTCTCTCTTGAATTACATACACTTTTAGTAATGAGTGGATCTTACAAACTGAGAAGTGTTTTTATATATTAATTTCAACTGGATTAAGTGAACGGCATATATTCTAATCCTCAGAAAAAGCATTGCAGAGTGTCGTTCCTGTGGGTTACGACAACACTAAACCCCTGAGCTTGCCTGAGAAGGACTAAATGCACAAAGCTATTTTTAAATATCCCATGGAGAGAGACTCTCACTGCAGCCTGTTCTATTTTGCTCTGAAAATGTCAGTGTGCAGCCTCGTTCTGTGGACGATAAACAAGGTACAGACTTCCCTGTGTCACCGATACTGAAGAAATACAGTGGCCCAATTCCAATCCGGCCCCTAAAGACTCAAGCCCTGAACCCTCACTGACTTAACTGACGTCAGCTGTAGGTGACTGAGTGTGAGAGTCTGAAAGGGCTCCAGATGCTACAAATAGGAATGGGACAGCACTTATCCCCATCTATCTATCCATCCATCCATCCATCCATCCATCCATCCATCTATCTATCTATCTATCTATCTATCTATCTATCTATCTATCTATCTATCTATAGATATATATTCTTTGTGTGTGGAATATAACCACTGGTATTCCTCTGACTTCATGTGTGTTTATATACCATCTTAAATCCTTGTTAATGTAATGTTTCATTGTTTATCTATCTGTTTTTTAGCTCTCCTTCCATAAAGTTAATGTTTGCATATCTGCCGACCGTGTTACTTCCGGTGTTCCGAGGGCAACCCCTGTATTTGACGTCACAACGCTATGAACTGTGGGTAATTTCCTTACCGTAAGTCCGCATCGATGCTGACCTACGGTAAGGGGGCAAAAAGGGCTCACTCACTGACTCGCTGACTTGACGATTTGACAATGGGACAGCCCTCACACACTCACGCACTTCACATGAACGCGCCTCTAAGTCAGTGAGTCTGTAAGGGATTGGATTGGAATTGGGCCAGTGAGTGCTGGATGGAGCAGTGAGTGACAAGAACCCCGCCCCCTTTTAAGGGTACTGTTTGTGGTGGAAACACTAGGGTCTAGATACCATGTCTGAAGGGTTACTTTTGGTTCCTAAGGCACCATACCTAAAGTGTTTGGTGGAAACGGGGCATTCCTCTCCAAAACACACAGACCAGGTAATTAAGTCTGCTACAAACACTGAATAAAGCTGATTCACCCAACAAATCAGTGCATCTCTGACACTGTTTGGCATCTCGGAGATGGGTGGCTCACCCACAACATGCTATTGTGGGCTCATCTTTTTCTGATCCAGACATTCAGGAGGTTTTTAGTGGGAGCCGAATTATCCACAGAGATCTCTTCCTCTCCAAACAAACAGACCCAGTGAGTTAAACCGGGAAAAACAACGCATAACGCAGTTGCATGTTACAAATCCATGTATTATGTGGGTGGCTAGTCCAACACATGCTAATGTGTGCTCACCTTTTTTCTCTAATAACACAAGATCCAGACATTTAGGAGGTTTCCACCAATGGCCGAATCATCCACAAAGGTCTTAAGGATCAGGTGATTTAAATTGCTAGAAACACCGAATAAAGCAATTTCAAGTTACAAATCAGTGTAACTCCGGCACTGCTCATTGCAGCTGGGCTTCTTACTATGGTTACTGACGCAAAAATTTGAATGGCTTCATGTAGAGCCAGTGTTTGATTTGTCGATTCTGGGCTACTGTAGAAACATGGCGGTGCACCAAGGCGATCTCTGAAGACTAGGACCTGCTCCCTATGTAGATATATATGGCTCATTCTAATGTAACAAAAACGCAACGGGTGATTATACACTGAAGAAAACATAATTACTATATTATATTCAATTTCTGCCAAGATATCCCCCTATATCCTACACACTGGACATTTAAAAAAGTTTTTACACACCCATCAGAGATTGTTTTGATTGATTTTGTGGGACTTTACAGTTTTTCTATAAATCTAAAAACAAGCCGCTAGATGCCTTTTTAATATCACTGTGTGTGGCTTGACTTATAGAAACACAGAAGTCTCCTAAATTATCTAACTATACTGTTCATTTACAGAAGGACCAACAGTTTTTTTTTTTGATATAGTTAAATTTTGGCCGTGTTTTACCTTTGTTGATAGGGCAGCTGAGATAGACAGGGGAGGTGGGAGAGAGAGGGGGGATGACATGTAGCAAAGGGCTGCTGGTTGGAGTTGAACCTGAGCCACTGCAGAGGGCTCGGCCTGTATGGGGCGCACATTCTACCAGGCGAGCTAAAGGTCGACCTGTGTTACTGGTATCTTTACCGACTTTACTATCTCATACTTCTTTATTGTAGCAGAGCAGTTGATCTTGAGACAGACTCACCGTTTACAGACATGGCCGGCATCACCAGAGACATTTTAGGTCTGCTGGTTTTATTGTGGCTGATGGCCGGTAACAACAGGTGGTCCTGGAGAAAGAGAGAGACAGAGGAGATAGTCCAGTTTAATGTGTCACATTCAGATTTTCTTTACCTCAAAACTTTGCCTTTAAAGTACAAGACGGCAGCAGTGCTGACAGAGCTAATGGTGTTAGCCAGGGAGAACTGAAGGGTGGGTGTTACGCTTCTGCAATGACGCCATGCTGCTATCAGCAGTAACAGCTGTATGACAGTGGTGGCTTTGCACTGCGCTCATCTGCAGATGAGTGCAGTGAGTTGATCAGATATTGTGAATGTTGCAGACTAAATACAAAATAAGTCAGAGCAGACACCATCTCACACTGAAGATCAGCCAGAAACAGACGGAAAGAGCTTCCTGTGAAACATAAGATGGTTCAGTCAGTGGAGTAACTGAGCTGTCATGTGTGTCGTACCCGTCTGAAAGAGACAACGTAGAAAGTGTCCTCTCTACGGTCGATGGCGTCCAGGAAGTCGCTGTAGGTGACCTCAGGACCAGGAAGCACCTGCAGCTGACTGTAGACACAAACAAGAAGAAAAACAGTTCAGTCTAATTGGATTTTAGATTTGAAGATGGCCCAAGATATTTAAAAAAAAAAAAAAATAAAAAATAAAAAAATCTTATTCAACCATCAGCTTCTAGTTTTCATTTTTTTTAATAAAACATGTAGTACTTTTCAGTTATTCAGCCAATTTATCCCATTTTTCTTCTGCTTTCTTTTAGCTGTTTTTTAAACATCACATTAAAAAAGCTCAGTTTTCTTCTCTTCACCTGGCTGACAGAAACACTGTATTTTCAGTATATATATATATGCATATATATAAATGTACTGTATTTTCAGTTTTACAATGCTTTGCATTTCTCTTGACACATGCACTGAAACTTGAATCTAGACTGCATGAGGTCATTTTACAGGGGGAATTAAAATATATTTACTAGAAATGTTAAAAGGCCCTGATCAGACAGAGGGCTTTTTGCAGGTTGAAAAAACATGAGGTGCACCACACTGCCTTTTTCAGCCTAAATTTAAAAAAAAGAGAGAAGCTTGCTAGGTCTATTTATTTTATTTTTTTTATATTTTTATTACCAAATCACAATTCATCTGATTAGAAAACAGACTGATCAGGACCTTTCTCTGTAAAATAATCAGTTGAAAGTTGATTTCAGTAACTGTCTCAAATCATCAATTATTTAAATGCATCTACCTATTTTTCCGCCATTGAACAAATGCTGTGGGAGATTAAAGTCCTCAGTCTGGCTGTCAAACAGCGCTCTGTCTGATCTGGGCCTGATTGTGTAATGACCTGTGTGTTGTACCTTTCTATGGAGCGGTGAGCCTGGATCGGCAGATATCTGGAGAAGTTTGTCTTCCTCAGCTGAGCTTTCTGCGGGAACAAAGTAAGTGATGCCTGTTCATTGTTAGCAGACACAGAATTTTGTAAATACTATACAAAACCTGCTACATTAAGATTAGTGTAATATGCAGTTTAAATGCTTTGCTGTTAAACTACAGATATCAGTAACTTACTTTTTCCTTTATGTTAAAAAAACATCAAAGCTCAAACTGTAGAAATAAGGAACTCTCTGATGTATAAGGAACATAAAAGCTAGCTTTAGAAGGAGAAGAAGAAGCAGCGTCAATATTAACATGAAGAAGAGGATGTGAACTGAACCTGGGCAATTTTGGCCTTCTTGGCGGTTTTTGGTTTTCCTCCAGACTTCTTCCTGTCGATCTGATGTCGATGGACCCAACCTCTGAGCTCGTCCGCCAGCCTGAAATGCAGGCAGAGAAAGCAGGAAACATTAAACTGAGACTAAAGCAATGAGACGCATCAATGTGTCCTGCATATCCAATAACTGTAACACAACTACAAAATAAAAGACATTAGAGGCTTATTCAGCAAAGGAGATTTTTTTTACTTCTCAATATGTGTATGATTATTGAAATATTATAACTGTACTGGGCCTTATTGTATAATTTTATAGAAAAAGATTTATGTAAGTGACACATCACAGTGTGGGGTTCCAGCAGATTATTGTATGACAAATGCCTGTCACCATTTTCTGCCAAAGATGTGATGTAAACTACAGATATGCAGTTTTTAATTTCAACCTGTGCATCTGTTATTACTAAGAGGAAACAAAGAAAAAAGAAAAGGAAAGACAGCTGGAAAGAAAGGTGGAATGAAGAAAAGAAGGAAGAATGAAAAGAAAGTAGGAGGGATCGAAGGATGGAAAGAAAGGAGGAAGGTAGGAAAGGAAGAACAGAAGGTAGGATGAATGTAAAGGAAGAGGATAGAAAGAGAATGAATAGAAGGAAGGATGGAAGCTCACCTGTCCTGTAAAGTCCTAGACTTTACATAAACATAGATAGATTCACATAAAGTGTGAATCTAAGATGAGGAGAAGGAGGAGGAAGAGAAGGAGGAGATGACCAACATAAACTTATTTAACAGTTGAAGTGTCGGGCCGACCTGAGAGACTCTGAGCGGTTGAACTGTCGGCAGTCTGAGGAGCTGAAGTAACGATCGATGTCTTGCAACACCAGATCTTTCACGTCACTGAACACATCACTCAGGTTCCTGCAGACACAAACATAAACACAAACACACACGTTACGGGTCAAGTCTTTATTATCTGCAGGGAAACAAACAGTAACACATTTATTTAAAGAACATGTCAGATTTGAAGGAAATTATTATTTTAATCCAGCAGGAAAACAAACACATGTGGAGGCAGTCAGAGATGTTGGAGGAGCAGTTCTGTTAGACGCTGAAAACACTTCCTGGACATCTGTTATTGTCAAGAAGGAGAGAAAGAAAGGAGGAGAGAAAAGAGGGAAAGAAAGAATGAGGAAGGAAGGAAAGATGGAAGAAAGGATATGAGACAAGAAAGGAGGGATGAAAGAGAGAAAAGACAGAAAGAATGGTCAAAGGAAGGGTGGATGGGATGAAAGGAGAGACACAAGAAAGGAAAGAAAAAGAAGGATGAAAGAAAGGAAAGACATAGGGGATGAGGGAAGGAAAGAAAAACATGAGGAAGAAGGGAAGGAAAAAAGAATAAAATGAGGTATGATGGGAAGAAAAGAAAGACAAGAGGCAAGAAGGAATGTGGGATGGAAATTAAAGGACAAACAAAAGAAAAGGGGGAAGGAAGGTAGGATGACAGAAAGGATGAATGGGAGGAAAGGACAGACAAAAGGTAAAAAGAAAAGGAAAGAAGGAAGGAGGGAGGAAAGACAAAAGGAAAAGAGTAAAGACAATAGAAGGATAGAAGAGGGATGGATGGAAAGAAAGGAAAGACAAGTGGTAAGAAGGAAAGGCAACAAGGAAGGAGGAATGGAAAGAAAGGAAAGACAGAAGGAAAGAGAAATGGAAGGAAAGACATAAGGATGGATAAAATGACAGGTGGTTGAAAAGAAAGATGGAAAAAAGAAAACACAAGAAGGAAGGAAGAATGGAAAGTGAGGCAAGGCAAGAGGTAAAAAAACAAATGAAAAAAGGAAGGAGTTATGAAAAGAAAGGAAAGACAGAATCAACGATTTAAGGAAGGGAGGAAAGACAGAGGGAAGGATGAAAGAAAGGGTGGCTGAAAAGAAGAGAAAAAATGCAAGAGGAAAGAAGGAAGGAGGGATGGAAAGAAAGGGAAGACAGAACAAAGGAGGGAAGGAAGCAAAGACTGAAGGAATCATGAAAGGAATGATGGCTGAAAAGAAAGAAGGAAGAAAAAAGAGGAAAGAAGGAAGGAGGGTCAAAAGAAAGAATAGACAAGAGGTAAGAAGGAAAGGAAACAAGAAAGGAGGAATAAATAGAAAGGAAAGACAGAAGGAACAAGGGAGGGAAGGAAGGAAACTATGGTTGAAAAGAAAGAAGGAAGAAAAAACACGAGGCAAGAAGGAAGGAGGAATAGGAAGAAAGGAAAGACAAGCGGTAAGAAGGAAAGCAAAGGACAGAGGGATGGGAAGGAAGGATGAAAGAAAGAATGGGTGGAAAGAAAGATGCAGGAAAGGAAAGAGAGAAAGAAAGGAGGCAGAGCCTCATTCGGGGAGACATGTCTTTAACGTCCACAGCAGAGAGACACTGTGTTGTGTTGAACAGTAGAAGATATTGTTGGAGAACAGGTTGTGTTAGACGTTACAAACATGTTTGTCTACATTTCTTCCTGATGGTTGAAGAGTGGATGATTATCTGTGGTGAATCTAAGTGAATCTATCTGCTGTCACCTGTGATGAGACTCTGTCAGTGCAGGAAAATGTTTGATAAAGGAGACGTTTATAAAAGGAGCCTTCAATCTTGTTTCACCTGCGGGTTATAAATCAGTCACTGACGGCGTCTCTGAAGTGACGTTTGCTCGTCTCTGTGGGTCCGTGTGTGATCACATTTCTGTGGTGTATTCACTGGTTTCACTTACACTTATAAGCACCACACTCTCCAGTTAAACATACATTTATAGCAGATCAATAATTTTAAATGAACATGTTAATTTTTTAATGAGAACCTTAAGTATTTGGTGAAAAATGTCAGATTCACTACGGACAGCTGTTATTTCTCTTTATTCTCATTCTGTGTTAGTCCATTGTTGTTTTTTATTTAAACATTTCTAATGATTCATTTTAATATTTTTCTTTCTCTGTTGATCTATATTTATTTTTGGCGTTGTGTTGCTGCAACACCAGAATTTCCCCTCTGGAGATCATAAAAAGACTTGCTGGATTTTATCTAACTTGACTTAAATTTTATTTATGTTATTTAATGTAATATAAATTAATTTAATTTAAATTAATCTTATTATTTAAATTAAACTAAGGTAAATTAAATTAAATTCTACTTTATTTTATTTTATTTTCAGATAAATTAAACATTTTATATCTTCTGCTATTCATTTTCACTTCAAATACTGAGGGATGGGATGAACTGAATTCTGTCTTATTTCATTTACAGGTTGTAGCTTGAGTGTGCAGCTGTGTCGTTCAGTAGATACTCTTCATATTAAAAAGAATCAGATCAAGGTTTAACTTGATCAGGACATTTTGCACTTTTAATTTATTAAATTATTTAATTAATCAGAAATATTGCATTTGCTGGTAAAAAATATTGATTGGTTCCAGTCCAAGTTGACATTATGGACATTGGAAGTAACTCTGTAAAAATACACACAAGGAGATCTGAAATGAATTTCACAGACACAAGACACTTTGAGATGATGAACTGAATGTTGTCTTCATCAGACTCCTCTCACCTGAACTGATACGACTCCGCAGCTTCGTCTCCTCCGTCCTCCTCCGTCTCTGTTTTTTCCTCCACTCTGCTCGGAGGCTGAGCAGCTGCTTGCTGCTGCTGCTGTTGTTGTTCGATCTCCAGCAGTCGTCGTCCCGTATACGACACCACACCATCCTGTAGGCCTGACAGCTTTCTGTCTGTGATGCTACAGGAAAGAAGAAGTCAGAGAAATCAAATAAAACTATTTTTTTTATTTGTACATTTCATCAAAGTCAAATTGGGGGAATGTTTTCAGTCACCGTATTGTCCGTGTCTGTTCCTTTACTAATAAGGTAAGTAAATAAACCTTATTTATGGCACTTTTCAAAGCAGCTGTCACGAAAAACTGCGGAACATGTACATACTACATTCTTCTAATTATATTCTTTTTGTTGTCTGAAGATGACCATGAACATCTGGCAAAGGGACTACAGATGCAAACTACCTCTCTGGCTAATTTGGGTGCATTTCCATTTGTTTAAATGTGGATTAATTTACAATGTCCCTTCTTATATAAATACATTGAAATTGAAAATGAAAAACTACAAGCACAAGTTTTGCGATGCAGGATACCTGACAGGTCCGAAGCTGAAGGTCATGAACAGCAGGACAGCCATGACACACACGGCTCTCTTGTTGCTCGCTGAGTCGCTGCCCTGAAAAACACAGAAGAGAAACTTATACTGCATGTACTATGTGCAGAAAAAATAACATGCAGAAAGTCGCACATGAGGATACAAACATTTTTGATGATACACTTCCTGACCTCAGGCCTTTGCACACTGAGTCTGTTTTTTCTTCCGAAACTGTTGCACATCTAAAAATAAATACCTTCAGAGGCTTTTGACCAAGACTCAGAGAAGAAAATGTGGCGACAGAACACAGCCTCGACAAGACAGAGGAACGGGGCGCACAGAATCATTTCATAATTTAGATAGTTCACTTTCAACAGGTCAGATAGTGATAATCAGGTGGATGATGATGACGAGGAGGAGGAGGATGTGGACTGCACACAGAATGTGGAAGACAGCTCCACCCCTTCATGCAGCTGCAGTGCCAAATGAAACACAGGGAGGGAATGATGACAGCCAGATAGGTAACTCCAGTGGAGAGAGGCAAAGGAGGAAATGTGTGTTTTTTTTTAAATTTGTCTCTTTCTCCAAATTTTCACAACAAATAGAACAATAAAACGCATCGGAATCAGTGTGTAAGGTTTCTGTGCATAACAATTTTTCGCATGACAGACTAAAAAACACATTCGAAAAAAAACGGACTCAGTGTGAAGGCCTTTACTCTGTGACCTTTACTGGATTTACAATATTTTCTTCAAGTGATTTTTTTAAGTAAACAAACAGTTTGAGGTTTGTTTAATTTCAAACATAGGCCTACAAGCAGGCATTTCTGGTGTCTGGTGGCATTTAACTTTTGTTTCACCTTTCCACTGATTCCAATCATCAGGTTCAACAGGTTTCTCTTTTCTATGTGTTTGAGTTATGTGCCTCAGTCTGGATCTTATTTCCTCCTTTTCAGCCTGTTGTTGTTAATTGAATTCAGAGGCAGCAGCTGTACTATAAACCCCTCTGGGTGTTAAATGAGATGGAAGTCAGGTTCACTCTGCAGGGAAATCAGCAGGATTGTTCTTTTAATCACATCTCTTTCTACACTTACTGGCCACTTTATTAGGTACATCTCCAGAAGTGCCTTGATTCTTGGTGGCACAGATATAACGAAGTGCTGGAAACATTCTTCAGAGATTTTGATCCATATTGACATGATAGCATCACACAGTAGCTGCAGATTTGTCAGCTGCACATCCATGATGAGAATCACTCGTTCCACCACATCCCAAAGGTGCTCTCTTGGACTGAGATCTGGTGACTGTGGAGGCCATTGGAGTACAGTGAACTCATTGTCATGTTCAAGAAACCAGTTTGAGATGATTTGAGCTTTGTGACATGGTGCATTATCCTGCTGGAAGTAGCCATCAGAAGATGGGTACACTGTGGTCATTAAAGGATGGACACGGTCAGCAACAATACTCAGGTAGGCTGTGGTGTTTAAACCATGCTCAGTTGGTACTAAAAGTGTGCCAAAAAAATATCCCCCACACCATTACACCACCACCAGCAGCCTGAACTGTTGATACAAGGCAGGATGGATCCATGCTTTCATGTTGTTAACGCCAAATTCTGACCCTACCATCTGAATGTCCCAGCAGAAATCCAGACTCATCAGACCAGGCGACCTTTTTTCAGTCCTCTATTGTTGAATTTTGGTGAGTTTGCGTGAATTGTAGCCTCAGTTTCCTGTTGTTAGCTGACAGGAGTGGCACCCGGTGTGGTCTTCTGCTGCTGTAGCCCATCTGCTTCAAGGTTTCGACATGTTGTTGGTTCAGAGATGGTCTTCTGCATACCTTGGTTGTAACAAGTCTGGCCATTCTCCTCTGACCTCTGGCATCAACAAGGCATTTTCACCCAGAGAACTGCTGCTCACTGGATATTTCCTCTTTTTCAGACCATCCTCTGTAAACCCTAGAGATGGTTGTGTGTGAAAATCCCGGTAGATCAGCAGTTTCTGAAATACTCAGACCAGCCTGTCTGGCACCAACAACCATGCCACGTTCAAAGTCACATAAATCACCTTTTTCCCCTCATTCTGATGCTCAGTTTGAACTTCAGCAGGTCGTCTTGACCATGTCTACATGCCTAAATGCATTGAGTTGCTGCCACGTGATTGGCTGATTAACTATTCGCGTTTACGAGCAGTTGAAGAGGTGTAAGTGGCCTGGGTGTGTATATACCTACAGACTAAGTATGTATGTAGGGTTGGGTACCGTTCACAGTGAAACCCATACTGGTTACTGTGCCTGGAATTCGGTACCAGTACTGAACAGTACCTTTTTTTTTAACTTTACCTTCTCAGCAATAAAAAAATGAATTGAATTTTACTAATTCTGGTCTTTCAAATCACACATAGAGCTAATCTTCTGTTTCTGTCTGGAGGAGACACAGTTGATGAAGAAGATGACAAATCACATCCTCCCTTCTTTCCCTCACCTCTTTCCCAGCCAGCCTCTCCCTCAGCGCCTGATTCTCCCTGCGGAGTCGTTCATTCTCCTGCTGGGCCTCCTTGAGCTGAGCCTCCAAGTTCTGCAGGTACTCCTTCTTCTTCTTCCTCGACTGGCACGCTGACTCCCGGTTCTTTATCATCCTCTGCTGCCGCTTCAGCACCTTCATCTGCACCAGGAGGAGGAGGAGGAGGTGGAGAAAGATTGGTAAAAGATGAAGGAGGGTGGAGGGGAGAAAGGCAAAGAGGAAAACAGAGGAATAAGAAAGAGGAAGAAGGGAAATATCACAGAGGAGGGAAGAATTTGAAGAAAAAGGAGGACACGGACACAATGGATGAGGAGGAGGTTGGTGTACATGCAACGACGAAGACAAGGAAAGGAGGAGGGAAGATGAGGAGGAGGATGTTGAAACAGAGGTAGGAGGAAAGCAGAACAATGACAAGACAGGAAGAGGAGGGAAAAGGAGGGAGGGGAACAAAAACAGAAAACAAAAAGTTCAGCAGGTGAATGATATAATCCTACACCCCGAGGGAAACTGATGTGTACATACATCACAGCTTATATAACAGGTGAAACATTGAGTAACAGTCTGATGTAACCTACCAAGCTGACTAAACAACAGAAGTTACGTCTTTTCTCTCACATATTTAACAAGAAACAAACAAATGATCACAGCTCGTAGGTTGGTGCAGCTGTAGTGACTGCGTCAAAAGTTTTAAATCTTATATTAATGCCAACTTAAGGTCAAAAACAATAGATTTTTTTTTAACTTTATTTTCTAAATTAAACCAAAAAGGTTTCAGGAAAACCTGTCAGCCTGTCTGTCATCACTGGGGCTGGGGTATCTAACCTAAATACTTCTTGAGGACCAACTAAAAGAGGTCTGTGCTGAAAGCTGCACATTTGCCTTTTTTTCCTGGTTGCTGAGAGTTAAAAAATATTCAACTTAGCATGAAAAGCTGCAGCTGCTCATCACTGTAACTTTTACACAGCCATTCACTCACAGCGGAGGAGGGGCAGGACAAACCTCATCAAGACCAAATGCCACATCACTGAACAGCAACAACAACAATGGAGGAGAAATTAATACTGAACCCACACAGACTGGCAGGTCTGTCCTCTCTCTGTAAGTTTTTCAGCCTTCCCGTTCAAGGTACTCTACCTTGTGCTGACATTTTACTTCTGCGGATATTCTGTATGATAGCAGCCAGACTAAAGCGTCTCAGCTAAAAGAATGCTGCACCCCTAAGGCACACACACAAAGCATTTTGCAGGTTGCAAAACTTGCCTTTTCCAGCAACCACTGCCAACAGTTTCTTCTTTATTGTTTACAAACTGTAAATTTGTTCTCGTGACCACCACGGAAGGCCCGCCTCTCAAATCATCTGATCAGACAACAGTGAAAAAAAGAGATGCGGAGATGGCGCTTTTCTGCTCCGGCAAAAACGGCAGGCATTTAAAGCGCAAAAAACAAATGATGGTAAATATTCTTTGACAAAAAAGGGTTCACATGTCCGAAATAAGACATTGTTTGATGCCAAAAGTCAAGTATGCTACCCTGGCTGTGATTTGATGACTGATGTGTGAGTTGGTACATCCAGCCTACTCACATCAATATCGTTGGAGTTGTTGCCGGGTAACGTCGTCGTTGCAGGGACGATGGGTTTGCTGGTGGGCGGAGTTGTGGGGCTGGAGCCGTGCTGTGGGATGCCGGGAGAGACAGGCTCCATTTTAACAATGGCCGGGGCTGAACTGAGGCAGACGGACTGAGACAAGACGACTGGAGGAAGCAAGACAGAGAGAGACGAATCATCATGATACGGCCAATCACAGTAATTCAGTATTTTGATCAAACACAAACACTTGTTACCAGGTCTGTTCTGGTCCATGGAGGGGAGGCCCTGCAGTATAAGGGTCTTGGCTGGTGTGGGGGTCTGGGGGATGGGGAGGGTGGTGACGCACACCGGTCTGGGCTGGATGGGAGGTTTAGTGCTCAGGATGGTGCTGGCCTTTAATGTGGCCGAACCTGGCAGAACTTCAGGTGACAGAAAATAAATATCACTTACATTTCAGACATTAGCAACTGAAATCAGTCTCTTGGGAATAGCAACTTTTACAAGAACATTCACTTTAACTGTTTTGCACTGTAGAAACACACTCAAGCTGTCAACAAAACACATGACTCAAGCTTTAGTTCTCTGTGGTGTAAAGTGGAAAATTTTGCAGAACCAATGAAATGATTTGGTTTGCAAATATAAGTTGCAGGATGATCACCATCAACACAACAAGGCAACCAGCACTTTGTGTTGTGATGTTTATCCAGGTCTGAGCTGCAGAGGCACAAGTCTAAAGCAGAGTTCCCACACCAGACGGGACATATACAGTAATGCCTCCGTTGTGTTCTGGGGTATCTGTACAGTAATATCCTGATGTAAATATAAGATAACTGGTAAATTGAGAGCTTTTCGTTCAGCCCAGACAGCTCAGTATGACTCCCATATCACAATAACGTGGCAGATAGTGGGGCTTTGTCCCAGACACATATAGTGGTCAAGTACTGATGAAGCACTAGTGATGACTGTCTGATGATTGCAATGATTAATCGATCAGTTGTCAACTATCTAATTAACCAATAACCAACCAATTTTATAAGAGATTTGAGTAATTTTTAACGAAAAAAAAAATCCTAACTTTCTGATTCCTGTTTTTTTTCCCTCCTCTATGACAGCCAACTGAATATATTTGTGTTGTGGACAAAACAAGACATTTAAGACGTTATTTTCAGCTTTGGGAAACACTAACACTGTTTTTAAATGTAGTATGTGCTTTTTATGGACCCTGTGTCTGCTCAATAAACTTGAATTGAATTGACTAACATTTTATAGATCAAACAACTAATCGAGACAATAATCAGCAATGAAAATAACTCTTAGTTGCAGCCCTGTTGTCTACTTAATATTATTTTGTATTCATAGGGCTCTGTACATGTCCTGATCTGCATAATGCTCTATCTTTTTCATCCTGTTCAGCTGCTCTCATGTTTTGTTTTCTCCTGTTTCTAATTTCCCCATTGTGTCTTTTATTGTTATTTTAATGGACAATTTAACAGCGAGCTGAGGATTAACAGTTGAAAATTAGCCTTTTACCATGATGTTGATTAATGTGCATTGTCCCTGAAAATATATTAATAAATAAACAAGTAAATAATTAAATAAAAAACACTGCAGGTGTGACAACAGCCTGAAGCCTCATTTTAATATCAAAGAGTTCTCTCTTTCTTTTTTTCTCTCAGTGCAACAAACAAACAGGCAACGAAAATGATCTGGTAGACCATCGAAAACACGAGTCTGCTGCTATACCAGCACTGCATGGTTAATATTCAGCCCCATCCAATTTTTGACCACTCCTACAAAAGGTACCATAATTTTATATCTACTTTCCTGTGCATTTAAACAGGTGTTTCTTTTTTAAAAAATATGTTTATCTATTCATTTTTCATATTTTAATTCCATCTAAATATTCTTAAGAATAAAAAGTTCATTCCTCTTTGAAAGGGTAAACTAGCCTTAATTTTGCTATTGTATTATTATTTTATCAGTAGCATAAAATGGTCCCAAAATAACAATCATATTGCATATTGCAGTTTTTTTCTGGAACAATATATCATCCAACAAAAGTAGATATCGAGACAGGCCTACAAGGGTCTGAACCTACCTGCGGCCTGCGTCTGTATTCCACTTATGACTGCTGGGATCTGTGTTGTCAACGGCGCCTGTGGTGGGGATACGGTTGTTGTTGCCACGGTGACCTCCATGGTCCCCAGCGGAGGAGACAGCACATCTCCGTACATGTACGGAGGAGTCGGGGGGTTTTCACCTTTAACTGTGATCTGGATGGGAGATAAGACACAGTCAGCTGATGATATTTAGGGTTTTTTTTTTGGTTTGTAATTTCATGACTTTTCCTGTCGATGTCTTGTGATTTTATAAATTTAAAAGTCATCATTAAACAAGGACCTGTGGGTCAGGTGATAAGGCAGAGCAGTCGGACCCGAGTGAGGATGCAGGGGAGGGAGGCTCTGCTTTCACCTGGAACACTGGACAAACAAACACATAAACCAGTCAGAAACAGAGTATGTATTTGTATGTATTTGCTCTTGTTTGATGAGATCAATTTGAAAAGAATCTGGAGAACTTACACATTTCCACTGGTAATGGCTGAGTGATGGTCATTTCATTTTTAATCACAGGAGTTTCCCCTTCAGAGAAAAAAGACACACAGACGTAACGAGATGTAAAGTCAGAGGTTGTCTGATGTCAAACTATTAAACCCATGATGGATTGTGAGATTTTAAGTCTTAACAATAATATAATAATCATGAAATCAGGAGATGTGCACTGCAATAAAACATAAAAGATTACGGTTCAAGTTGGAGACTTAAATGACTCAGTGTTTCTAAAAAAAATTAGTGTTGCCTGGAGGAGAAACTGCCACCACAACCCAGAATGACAACAGTAACACAGTACTGTAACAGTGCAACACATAGTGATGTAATTTAAAAGTCATGCTGATTCAGGTTCACAACATCCCACAGAAAATCTGTTGTAATGAAAAATACTAAATAAAATAACTATTTGACTTCCAGCTGCCCTTCTTTTTTTTTTTAAAGTGAAATAAATAAATAAAAATCTTCAAATAATGATTATTTTTCTGTAAAATAAAACAAGAACTGCTATTTTGGCTCCAACCAACACAATTAATCAAACAACATGTGACACATGGCTGGCTGTAATATATTTGTAAAAGGCTGCTGGGATAACAAGGTTTTGCTCTCACTGTTCTACTGCTTTAAGCTTTCCATGAAAGAAAACAGGTAAATTAATGAACCTGACAAAATTTGAGAAGGCTTTACTTTATCTCTGCTTACAAGATTTTCACTAAGAAAAGGTAGAACACCAGCGGTATATTTTTGGGCTATGAGCAGTGTTGGAGGTAATGCCTTACAAAAGTAACCTGTTACAGTAATATATTATGTTTCAACAGTAACAAAGTAATATAACGGGTTACCAACAAGATTTTGGGTAATGCTATTACATTTACAGTGTCACGTATTGTGTTACCACCCAAAATAAACCATATATTGTTTTCATTTTTCATTTATCCCCACTGATCCACACTGCTCCACTTCTGCCAGTGCTCCAACAGAAAATTATCATCCAAAGGTTATTATGTCTTGTCATGTCATTACAGGCTACATTATTATGTCTTGTCATGTCATTACAGGCTACATTATAGAAGGGTGCCAGTGATTGGCACATCTGGGTTTCCATTGATACACCAACAACGTCTACAACATATCCTGTCTTGCTTTTGCATCCTAAGGCTACTGGAAAGCAGCGGGGAAAAGGAGCTGGCCTCTTATTTGTTGTTTCCTCGTCCCGGTGATCAACACATCTGGGTGATGTTAGTATATGTTGGATATGTTTCCATTCGCATCCCCTACAACTGCAGAGCAATGCTGGCACACAGCCCCGTTCTCCGCTGTTTTAATTCACGCTTGTCATAGTGACTGACTTGCACGCCATTTTGTTGGTTGTGCTAACCTCTAGCTTTGAAATGAACTGTAATAAACTGGAGCTTCTGTGCTTTGATCACCTTTGAATAATTAGCCTCACCCATTCATAATGCCAATTAGTTCTTCTGAGGTCATTTTGGTGATAGTAATGCAAAAGTGGTGTAATAAGTAACGTATTACTCTACACAGAGAGTAACACTATAAAGTAAAATATTACTTTCAAATGTAGGCAACTAGTGATATGAGAGTAACTTGCCCAACACTGGCTATGAGTGCTACAAGGCCTCTTCAATATAAATATTTTCACAGAGAATAACGAGAGTTAATTGCGAGCTTCACAAGGTAAATGTTGAAAGTGGGACAGCGTAAAAAACATATTTTTGGACCACAAGACAAATTAAACATTGACATTGACTGAGCTGAAAGAAAGAGAAACTTAATATCTGGAAGGACAATAATCAAAATTATGTACCTGTTCTTATTGTGAACAAATCCTGTTGTATGAAAACCATTAAAAACAAATCAGCCACCCTGTTGCACTCAGTGACATGTTCCTTCATTACCATGATCCCATTCACTGTCGTTTATTTTGACTGAATCCCACATACGCCGTCCAGCTGCCACAAATACTCACTAGAGCAGTGGTTCCCAACCTTTTCCTTTACGGGACCTCTTTTCTATCATTGCGTAAGCTGACAAAGTGACATATTTTATGGATATTTCACATTATATTTAATGTAGATTAATCTGCAGCTGAAAATAGTCACTAACAAATGCACTATTTCCTCCTGCTTGTTGAAAAAATATAGTGAGCAGCTGCTCTAGGAAATTACGAGGCTTAAAGAGAAAAAAAAATTAAGACAGTGTAGCAGCAGAGGGGATGAAGCATCTCCTGTTTCAGAGACGTTTTGAGGGGTGAAAGCAAAACGCTGACCAGGTGGTTTGAAGTTTCCTATAAGCGCCCAAAACTGGTTGGTCTGTACCTGTGAGAAGGTTGTCGTCAAGGTGTTGCCATGGCGACGTGGGGTTGTCAGGATCAAGGGTGAGCACGAGGTCATTGTCAAACTGCGAGAGGTTGGCAGAGGAAGAAGAGGAGGAGGAGTCAAACAACTGCTGAATTAGTCTGTGTGTGTGTGTGTGTGTGTGTGTGTGTGTCAATTAGCCTGATTATCCTTTGATCCATCATCTGTAGTTAAAAGACCTGATTAAAGCTGCTGCCAGCACAGTGTGTTTGGGAGATATCAATATGTTTATTAGAGTTAAAGAGGTACTTCAACATTTGCATTTTGTGTTTCTACTAGAACATGTTGACATGCTTTAATGTTGACAGAGAACACATTATTTTCCTCATACTGTCTGTGCTAGAACACCTGTTTTTACTTTCTGTCTCAAATGCTCCACTTAAGCGCCTGTCTCTTTAAAGCCAAGTTCACACTACATGACTTTCTGTCTTGTAATCAGGGGTCTTAAAGTTGTTGCAGTTTTCACACTATATGATGGACTGGTGATGGGGGGATCACACACAAGATCTTTCACCAGGAGGAATCCTTGCAAGTATGTCATGCCCACATCGAACAATAACTCAGGGTCAGGGGGATGTTTACTGGAAAGTAGAATTACCGCCACACAGTTGTATGCCTCCCTGAACCTGTTAAGTTTCTCTTACAGTTTACATTCATGTCTGTGAAAACATGGATGCTTCACACACATCTTCTCCCGGCAGCACAGAAGATCTATACAATCATCGCAGTTTCAAGGCGGACACCCAAGATGCACGTCGCCACTTCAGTATTTGACCAAATGTCTCCCTTTCTGTTTCTCACGGTGAGTAATGGCCAGGAAAAGTGTTTTTGCAGAATATTATGATGTCACAGTGAAGTTGACCTTTGGGATAGAAAATGTCATCACTTCATAATTCTATTCTTTTAGACATTTCTGTGAAATCTGGTCATAATAAGTGCATGAATTCTTAAGTTATGGCTAAAAACATGTTTTAAAGGTCACAGTGACCTTTGACCTTTGACCACCAAATTCTTATCAGTTCATTCTTGAGTCAAAGTGGCTGTTAGGACCAAATTTGAGAAGACTCCCTCAAGGCCTTGAGATACCACCTTCACAAGAATGAGGCAGATGCAAGGTCACAGTGACCTTGACCTTTGCTCACCAAATTCTAATCAGGTCATCGTTGAGTCCAAGTGTAAGTTTGTGCCAAATTTGAAGAAATTCCCTTGAGATGTTCCTGAAATATCGTGTTCACAAGAATGAATGCGACGGACAACTCGAAAACATAATGCCCGCGGCCACGGTTATTGCCATTCTGGAGGCATAAAAACAGAAAGTGTTTGACTTGACTCATTTGTCATTAATCAATCAATCAATTTTATTTATAAATCCCAATATCACAAATCACAATTTACCTTCAGAGAGCTTTACAGCACACAACATCCTTCTGTCCTTTGGACCCTCACAGCAGATAAGGAAATACTCCTCAAAAAAACCCAAACTCAAAATCCAACAGCTAAGGCTAAACATGCTAAAATTTTAACTGCTAAACATTTAGCATAACATGCTAAAAGTTGAGCTTGTTTAAAAACATGATTATCAAACAGCAACGTACAAATGCTATGCACAAGATGGAAAATGGTTCCCCCTTCAAAAATCAAGGTTAAAAACACAAAAAAACTTAAATTATTATGTAGATGTGTATTGACCAGTGTTTATTGCGGGCAAACGAGGATGTTATGTTAGCATTGAGCAGGATTTATACTTCTGCATCAAATCGACACCTTACCTACGCCGTGTCCTGACATGCACCTCCCTAGAAATGTAACTACACGTAGCTGCGACGCAGGCTGCAACAACTTTGATTGGTCGGCTTGGCAGCATCACATTTCCCCCTCCACATTTCCAGCTGTGCTTTCTCTTTCCGTAAACATGGACCAAATGGAGGAGAAGTTGATTGAAGAAGTTTGCAAATATGTACATTTGTGCGACTCTTTTTCACTCCACTTTAGACTGTCAAAAGGCTGCAAACTCCTTGAGAGAAATTTCTAGCAACATCGGTGTGGACACAACGAAATGTACGTAGGCGTGGAAAAACTTAAGGGACAAGTATGTTTACCTCCGAAAGAAACTCGCCACATGGAGCACGGATCTGGGGGAAAGAAAAATCCCAGGTTTTATGTTTCTCTCCAAGCTGGGACTGCATATTAAACACCGGGACACAGAGTCAACAAGGTAAATTTATTATGTCTTTCTATTATAAACGTCTATGTTTTGAGCGTTTAGGTTAGCTGGTATTGTGTGCTGGCAAGCAGGAAATACTGTCGAGTTGTAAACAAGGCATGTTCATTTGTCTTAAAGTCTCAAAGGGTGGCTGAAGCTGACAGGAACTCAGTCAGTTTTTGGAAGTATATAGTAGAGCTAAATCAAAGGTCAGAGGATCAACAAAGCCATAAGGACTAATGCTCTGGGGAGCATGGAAATCTATACCAAATTTCATGGAAATCCATTCAACAGTTGTAAAGGTATGTCACTCCAGACCAAAGTAGCAGACTGACGGACTAACAAATGCACTGAGTGACATTTCTGTCCCTAATTCCCAAATTCATCACATGTAGAAGGCCTTGACTGCTACAAAGAGAATTACTAATGTCTAAATGAGTGGACGACTTTGCCTGTAGACTGAGCTCTAAACTTAATAATCTGTGAAGTGTGTGAGGGTGGAGTGTTTGTGTACAAGGCTGAGCATCAGTTTCACTCTCAGTCCCGGACAGAAACCAGAACTGTGAGCTGTGACTCTTTTTGTCTCTTTACCGAAGGTTCGTATTTCAGCCCCCGGCTGAAATCCATGTCCTCCCCCTCCTCCATGCTCTCACACTGGTACAGGCAGGCATCTGAAGAGAGACACACAGGGTTTAAACACATCATCACATTTTCATCCAATATATTACATGCACTAGAAGTGTAAAGCCCCCAAAATGCTGTCAGATTTCAGCAACATCAGATTTGAAATGCAAAGTTGGTCATCACGCACAGGTCAGTACTGGTTTTCATTTTTTCCTCTGTCTCTGCCCACACAACATCTTGAACGTCACACGCTGCACCAAGACCAACAGCAAACAGATTGGACAAGTGTGTTTTCTCAACTACAATGCATCTGCATCTAGGGCTCGACAGTGCGAGCGTTTCACTCGCATTTGCGACTAAAAATAGGTGTGTGCAAACTGTAAAAAATATTTAGGGGCACATGTGCGCATAAAAAAAATCAGCCGAAGCAGCCTATATTTTTGTCAATAAAAAAATATGATAATCTAACCGCAAATGTTGGAGGAACTCCAGCCGCCTTCCCTCTTCCCTCTTCCCTGTGTGACACGGTTATGGGCGGTTTTCCAAGCCACTGTCGGCACAATGAATATCGTGCGCGACGCCAAGGGTAGCAGTGCCGCTTTGTCAGGCGTTGCTGCCCTCTCCATAGACAAACAATGGGACAGCCAGCGCAAAGCGGTTTTACAGCTGATCATGTGTAGAGGCCTTTAGGGACCGTTCTCCACGGTACTGCTGCTGGGCAGGGTGGAAATAAAGCCCTTTTCACACAGAGCGCGCAAAGTGCAGACCTCCGCCGATGAACCCATTCATTGTGTATGTGCTACCGCGGCGCAAGAGCACACCACTCTGCCGCCGAGCTGAGCAGCGCGCGCCGCCAGCCTGCGCTCAAATTGAATTTTTTTAATTTCACCGCAACGCGCTGTGACGACACCTTGGCACCGCACATCCAATAGCAGAGAAGAGCCTGAAGTAGACCCGAAAGCGGTCACCATGGAGCTGTAGCTCCTGAACGAGCCTGTACTCCCCCAAATCATGTCCTCTGCGCCCTACCACGCGGTGGGCGCCGCGAAAGCTCTGTGTGAAAGAGGCTTAAGTCCTGCAGAGTTTCAGAGGACCTGGAGAATGTTTTAGGATAGTAATAACATTATATAAGATAATCATATTGCAAAGATAATATATATAAGATAATAACATTAAAGACAAAATTAAATTGCAATACTTTTTCAAAACTTGATGATTTTACCTTTCTGTACATTTTGTATACAAATTCATTAAATAATTTTGCTTGTAAATGTCTATTTGCATCACGTTTATTACGGAAAACACATTATTTGATCAATTTACATTGTGCCCTAAAGTTCTTTGTGCGCTCCTTACTCTTTCAACTTAGGAGCACATGTGCTCCTTGGGAAAAAAGTTAGCGTCAAGCCCTGATATCTGTTCACTCTGGCCACACAACAGATCCACAAACAACATTCACCAGTAGTCTCCTAATCATTTATTTAAATAGTTATTGTTTGGTCTATAAAATGTAAAAAAAATAGTGGGATATCACAGTTTCCTAGAGCCCAAAGTGACATCTTCAAATTAGATTCAACATTACAACACTGAGTACAGGTACTGAGACAATGAGAAACAATAATGCCTTTTTGTTCCACCAACAGTCTAAAAATCAAAAATATCAGTTCAGCGTCATCGAGGACAAAGAGACACAGAACTTAACAGGAATCAGTGAATTGCACGTGAAGCGTGAAAGTAAAGTTTTGCAATTTTTTGCCTTTTTTCTGTCAATTGACTAATTCCATCCATCCCTTCTTTTTTCATCCTCTAATCCAGGGTTGGGTTGCAGCAGGGTGAGCAAAATACTTCACACATCCCTCTCCCCAGCAACGTTTTCCAGCTTTTATTGAGGCGTTCCCGGCCCAAATGAGATATATAATCCTTCCAGCGTGCTCTGGATCTGCCCCGGGGCCTCCTACCAGTTGAAAGTGCACGGGACACCTCTAATGGGATGTTCCCAGGAGGAATCCTGATCATATGTCTGAACCACCTCAACTGGCCCCTTTTACGTTTAGGTGCAGTGGCTCTATTCCGAGCTCCCTTTGGATGTCTGAGCACCTCACTCTGTCTTTAAGGCTGAGCTCAGACACTCAACAGAGGACTTATTTCAGCTGCAAGTATCTGAGATCTGCGATCTCATTCTTTCGGTCACTACCCAAAGCTCATGACTATAGGTGAGGGTCGGGATGTAGATGGACTGGTAAATCAAAAGCTTTGCCTTCCTGCTCAGCTCTCTCTTTTCAACAGGCCTGCGCAGCACCTGCATCACTGCATCTCTGCATCTCAGGCTCCGTTTCACCCTCAACTGACTAATTGACTGATTGATTGTTGCTGCTCCTTATAACTGTTCAAGGTTGTCTTCACATAAGCAGCTGCAAAAGACTGTCTAATAAACAAATATAAATAGTTAAAAAAGTTATTATTTAGTTCAGAAATATTTCAGATTAAAGAAAAAGAAGATAAAAAATGTAATCAGATGATCAATGGACGTTTCATAAACCATCCCCTCCATCCTGTGCCTCCCCACTTACACTTTATTTACACAGAGGGTCCACCACATTAGGTGCCATCCCAAACTAATTAGTGGGGAGTGAAAGTGGGTTAGAACTCCCTCCAACAGCGAGCCTGCATCGATGTCGACTTACTGACAAAGTGCACCGCTGATTGTGTTAGTCATGTGAATCACACCCCATATGAAAACAGTTCAGTGCAAAACCAGTACAGACATAAACTGCTCAAACTATGATAGACATTTAATATCAGATCAATAGTAAGTGATACAAATATATATGACGGACATAAAATGGGAGTATTTTTTTATTTTTCTCCAAGGTTATGTAAACATACACATTTTAGTCTGAACTCAAAAAACACTGAATTTTGACACCTAAACCTGATCTAAATACTTCAGGCTGACTTTAGGACAGTAAAGGCATTTCTGCACTATTACATTTGTGAGTTAATAAATGGTTAATCATCAATTGACTATTTGAACTAAACAACAACAATTAATCGTTTAAAAAATGTCTTCTTTTTTTTTTAAAGCATAACCAGCTACTCACATGTCCTGGATTTGTTGTTTTTCTTTTCAGTCTTTTCTGCCATTCTATCCTATATCATTAAACAATCAATCAATACTGAAAGTAATTTTTAGTTGCAGCCTTGCCATCAACAACACTATTTCTAATGCTCTGGCAATCGATATACACAGAGATGGCAAGTGATTTTTAAGTAAAATCACATAAAAATCTGACAAAACAATGATTGGCCCTTTCATCAGACATGACAAACAACCAAAGTTTGCCTACTGCCCCAGTCAACAAAACACAAACACAGACAGACAAAAGTTCAGCAAGGGTAAACTGATGAGTTATGTGCTTTAAATCATATTATTTTGCATCACTACATCACATCAGTAGATACAAGTATTTTTAAGATGTATAAACATTCAGGTAGTTCATGGTATGAACTTCTTTATATGCTTAATTTCCACAAACCCAACAAAACTGTTTTTACCATGACCCAGTCTGCCATTATTTCTCCCACCATGCCTTGCCTGCTCTGATGATGCAGAGGTGAAAACCCGACTCTGGACTTTGAAACTGAAACAAACACTGAGGCCATTTATTGAGCCCACATCCCGCCAAAGAGAGCAGGTGTGAACTGCAGCACATATCAGCTAAGATTTGCTCTGTACAACATTTTACAACACTGGAGGGTTATAAAAAAGTAGCGACCAGTAGATACCATCAAACAATAACTCAGGGTCAGGGGGATGCTTACTGGACAGTAGAATTACCACCACACGGTTGTATTCCTCCGAGAACCTGTCAAGATTCTCTTACAGTTTACATCCATGGATGCTTCACACACATCTTCCCCCCAGCAGCACAGGAGTTCCATACAATCTGCACAGTTTCAAGATTAGTGTCACAGTATCTAACCAAATGTCTCCCCTTCTGTTCCTGAGTTATGAAGTTGAGTAATAGTCAGAAAAGGGTTTTTCAGAACATTATGATGTCACAGTGACGTTTACCTTTTTGATATAAAATGTCATTACTTCATCATTATATCCTATAAGACATCAGTGTGAAGTTTTGTCATAATGAGCATATGAATTATTAAGCTATGGCAAAGAATATGTTTTTCTGAGGTCATAGTGACCTTGACCTTTGACCACCAAATTTGAATCAGTCTATTCTTCAGTCCAAGTGGACATTTATGTTAAATTTGTAGAAATTCCCTCAAGATGTTCACAAGGTTCACAAGAATGAGATAGATGCAAGGTCACAGTGATTTTCACCTTTGACCACCAAAATCTAATCAGTTTATTGTTGAGTCCAAGTGTATGTTTGGGCTGAATTTGAAGAAATTTCCTCAAGGTGTTCTTGAGATATTGTTTTCACAAGAATGGGATAGATGGACAATCCAAAAAACACTATGCCTCTGCTATCGCCAGCTTGGAGCAATAAAAACACAAATACAGTAATGCGAAACACCAGAGTGAATCTGGTGCTTTTACCCTTACTCTTGCTGGTAGCATTTGTGGTGACTAATTATAAATCAAATCGCCTATTCATTGTAAAAAACAAAAGCTAATATAGCTGTTAACAACTCTTTTATGAGCAGTAAAATTCTTTAAGACAGTGGAGTTTTATGGCATGAAGGTAAAAACCCTTTCCAGCTGCTGCCACTCTGATAATGTTAGGATAAATGTGTTGTTGTAATAGGGTCTAGTGTAACCTGCATAATTGTTTTTTTAATTCTTACTATTATCCTCAGCGTTTTCTGTTGTTCTAAATGTCTTTTGTGTTTTATGCCTCTCATCTGCGTTATCTCTTGCTGCTGCATTGACCCAGTTCTCTCAAGGGGACCGTTGAAGTTTCATCTAATCTATTCTAATTGCCTTTCCTGCCTAACTGCAGGAGACCAACAACAGGAGAGTGAAATACTTTTGTCAACCAGCCTCAGGAGGTGGAGCAAATCTCCCCAATCTCACTGTTTGTCTGACAGATTTACTAACAAAACAGCAGCAGACAAAATTCAACAGCAGCTGGTGTTTATTTTTCACTTCTGTCTGGTTCTCACATAATGCTAATAACAATGTTTTTAATTATAAGACAGATAGATAGATGGATAGATGCTAAAACTCTCCCAGGAAGAGATTAAATGCTTTTGTCTCAACACAGCCTAAATAACCTGCTTGTTGTGGAAAAAGTGGCTCCAATTTTTGTATATGTATATAATTATAAATAAAGTTAAAAAAGATGTGTCTACAACTGAACTTTTGCACTTATTATGTATGATTATTCTTAACATTTTGTGACAAAATTCTCCTCAATAAATCCATGACTACACCAGTATCTCTTTAGTTTTCCAGATTTAATGTAGCCTCATCTATACACATATTCATTCACGTATTGAGGTCACGCATTATTACATAATTCAATGGATTTTTTTAAATGTACTTTTTCCTGACATTTAATAGACCAAATAATAACATGATTAATCTACAAAATAATCAGCAAATTAATTGATAATGAAATAATTGTTAGGTGCAGCTCTAATTCACAATCACATACCAACTGACCATGCAAACACAAACATTCTCTTAATGCAAATATTTCTTGTCCTTTCCAAACAAAAACAAGCAGCTTCCTGCCCCACAGAATCTCATCTGTTTGCATTTCTGAGATTTTGAGTTTGTGAATGTAGTGTAAACTATACACTTTACATTAACTTACTTCTGTGCACTGTATACGCTTGACCCAAACATTTATACTACTGTCTACACTATATATACTGACCTATGGTTGATACTTATACCATTGTCTAAACTATTTTCATATCAAAGTTCAGCTATTTATTCTGTATATAATGTCCACTATTAGCATTATGTGTAGTAACACTCTCCACTATGTATTTTATATTTACACCTGCACTGCCTGCTATGCTTATACTGTGTTGGCTATCTGCATACACATTGTTAATACTGCTAATACTGTATCTAGTGAATTTATACTTCTTACTGTTTATTCTTAATTCTGTTTATTCTATATTTTAATCTGTATATTACTCTGCACTTCCCTGCCTATTGCACTTCAGGTTAGATGTTAAACTGCAGTTTGTTGTCTCTGAACCTGAACTCTCTGTGAAAATAACAATTTAGCTGAATCTAATCTAATCTAATCTAATATATGTTAAAGCTGCAACAATTAGTCGGTTATTCAATCAGTTGATACACAGAAATTTAGTTGGCAACTATTTTGATGATGTAATAATCATTTTAGTCATTTTATAAGCAAAAAAGCCAAACATTGGCTGGATTCATGCTCTATAGATTTAAGAATTTGATGCTTTTCTTTGTCCTGTATAATGATAACTAAATAGCTTTGGATTTTTGGACTGGTGGTCAAATAAAACGTGATTTAGAGACGTCACCTTGGGCTCGGAGAAATTACACAGAGCATGTTTCTCTCCTTTTTTGGCATTTTATGTAAAACAGCGCTGATATATATTTCTAGACATGAACATACACTGTAGAATAAGGCCCATACCTGGTAGGTTCATATTAAAACGAGTAGTAACTGGCAAAGCCCCATTCTGTTACGTGCATTTATTTTAAGATACATCCCAGAATAACACCACTTAGAGACCATATTTGACTGTTAAGGTAATGGCTGAGCATTACCAAGAAACAGGTCAACACAAGACAATAATACGCGGGTATTAAAAAGTGACAGAAAAAGACAGGACATGTGCTCGTATTAATGTGTGATCACGCTTCCACCCTCTGTGTTAAAGATAAACTGACATATCCGGGTCTGCAGATTGAGGAAGCACATAACACATACACACTGCAACCGCGTGCAACGGATATCTTGGACACAATATAACACCATTTTGTTAATCAAATTAAACCCTTAATGTCCATAATGGAGATTTGCAGGGTGGGAATGTAACGTTAACAGTTTTAACGCCCCAGCTTCGCCCGGACGGCTGCTAGTCTGAGGGGTATCCTCACACCCGTTAGCTTCATATCGGTCAAATACCTGTTTATTTACCGCTATAAAGACTTTAAATGTTAACTCACCCCAATCTTCGCTTGTCAGGAGGTTATCAGCGAAGAAACGAGTGTCCAAATCAGACAGTAAATCCGTACTCATAGCCACAAAGGCGGTGTGTTTGGGGAGCAGTCAGATAGCGACGTGATAACAGCTAGCTAAACAAATACAGACACAATATGGTCCCTAAATATAGCATTAAGGTAACCGTGTGATGTAAAGCATGAATATCATTTATAATTCAAATTAAGGATGTATTTTTTCCGTCAGAAAGTAATATATTTATTCAGTTTGTATCACCAGACGGTCTCTGGGTTCTTCCCTTTTGCTTCGCATATGACAGAGAAGGAAACGTCGTTTCTGGAACGTTACCGCCCAGCTGTAGCAGAGCAGCCAATAACAGCAAAGGATATTATGATTGACGAGAAAAAGAACCAATGAGATGATTCAGAGAGCGCGATTGGGCGTTAGCCAGCCAATCGATGAGGACAATGCAAAGAGGGGGGGTTAAATGTGATTTGGCCCAATCGGAAGAGCGCATTCTGATGGACAGAGACATTAATAAATAGAAGCGAGGAAAATTCGGGTCCGCGTTGAACTGACATGCGCGCTAGCCAATCACGATTTACTAACGGAAAAACATATTTAAGTGAAAGTCACGTTGATTCAAGCATTGTGAAAATAACATTAAGTTTAGATTATTCACGAAACAAAATACACTGATTTAAACAACTGAATCAGTCGACGCTGTGTATTCTTGAAATAAACTTTGTTGCTGCGAGGACTAGTATTTCTACTCTTAATGTGTTCGGGCGAAGAGGAGGAGTTCTATTACATAATTCCAGCAAGGGGCGTACGAGGACATGCTGAAACACCGCCAGCAGCTTGTACCTCTTCTTTGGGCTTTGTAGTTTGTTTTTAAATCAGTGAAAATACACTTGAGGATAGAGCAGGTGTTGGGAACTGCAAAGTCAATATTTAATTGGCAGAGCAGAGAGCTGCGGGACTTTGGTCCTCTCGTGTATTTGGAAGTTAAAGAACGATGTAAAGCAGATAAAAATCATAAGCAATACATTGACATTTGCACCATGAACAGTAAATTATACACAAAGAACTGAGCCAGGCTGGCTGTTTCACCCTACTCCAACTCTTGATACCAAGCTAGAGACAAGCAGAGCTGCATTGTTTTAATACACAACCTATTTATAAACAACCATTAACCACCTTTAATGCTTTATTAACCAGTAATAAATGACACCTCTCTCTGAGGTCATTATCATATGAACTGCAGTCAGCATCCAGTTACTTGTGTTCACACCTGTAGCTGCAAGTGAGTACCCCAAACAGTGACACATGCAATACTGAAATTATTGACTGGCATCATACAATGCTGGAAAATAAATTGACTGGCATCATGCTAATACAATGCTGGAAAATAGATTATAATCATATTAAGAATAACATTACTAAGTTTAGTGTTTCTATGTTCAACTTCTTTGGCTCAGTACTAAGTAGGTTACCACTTGCAGATAGAGAGCTCAAGAAATGAGTCCTAAAACCCAGAAATGAGTATTTTTGCACTCCTGCATGATGCAGTCAACGCAGCCATCCATACAGCCGTCACACACTTACAGTGCAAGGACACATATGTGAGAATGCTATTTACTGACTACAGCTCAGCATTCAAACCAGTCATACCACACAAACTCTCTGAAAAGCTCCTCACCCTCGGACTGATACACTTCCTCTGTGCCTGGGTGCAGAATTCCTATTAGACAGACCCTAGTCAGTCAGAGTTGGAAACCGTACATCAGGCATAAGAACTGTAAGCACAGGGACCACCCAGGACTATGTGCTGAGCCCCCTGCTGTTCACACTCTTAAAATATGATTGTGTGGCCTCCCAGACCAATATCTGCATTAAAAAACTCTCAGATGACACTGCAGTCATTGGGCTGATCACTGGTGGGGTAGAAATATCATACAGAAGACAGGTAGCTGAAATGGTGGCCTGGTGTCGGGATAATAACCTCTCCCTGAATACAGGTAAGACCAGTGAGATGATTAGTGATCCTAGGAGGAGAAAAGGTGAGCACATGCCACTACACATTGGTGAGACAGAGGTAGAGAGGGTGAAAACCTTTAAGCTTCTTGGCACCCACATCAGCGAGGATCTCACCTGGTCTCACAACACACAACACAAGACATCTCATCAGCGACTGTACTTCTGAAGAAAGCTGAGGAAATATATACCAATATCCTCAGCAACTTCTACATATGTGCAGTTGAGAGTCTGGTATGGAAACTGCACTGCTCAGGACAGGAAGGCCCTCCAGTGTGTGATAAAAAACTGCACAGCTCATTTTGGGAGCGGCCTTCCCATCCATTCAGGACACTTTAGAGAGCAGGGTCATCAGGAGGGCCCACAACATCATCAAGAACAGTACACACCCCAACAACAGTCTCTTCACACTTTTGCCTTCAGGCAGACGCTACAGGAGTGTGAAATCCAGGATAACAAGACTGACCAACAGCTTCTACCCACAATAATCATATTAAACACTACCCCCCTCCCATCCTCCCATCCCATCACACTCACTGACTACTATAACTTGATCTGATTTGTTGCAATAGCTGCATGAGGTATAGTGCACTTTACCTTTAAATTCTGGATTTTAACTTATTTCTTTGTTTCTGCTTATTTGTTTGTTTTATTTTTCTCAAAGTCTAACTTTTATTCTAAATTTATTATTGTTTTGTGTAAAGGGAGACAGTCAAATAAGAATTTCCTTGTATGGTGTAAACCATTGTGTTTTTACTGTGCATATGACAATAAACTCTTTGAATCTTGAATCTTTAATCTCAATTTAACTCAGCTTTATTTATATAGCACTTTACACACAACACCATTGATCTAAAGGGCTCAACATCATACACAGAGGAAAACAAAAAGCAAAAGAAGAGAACAAACAAGAAAAAAAGAATAGTACAATCAAAGTAATAATAGTAATAGTACAATTAGAGTAAGGTGCAATAAAATCCTGATAAGGATAACAGTAGTAATAAAAGCACAATAAAGGCACAGACTTCAGGTTAAAAAACTTGGGCTGGTTGGCTTAGGCACAATCAAAGGTGGCAGTATACAGGTAAGTTTTTAAATGACTCTTAAAAATCTCAATGATGGGGGAGAACGGGATGGAAGGAGGAAGAGAATTCCACAGTTTTGGGGCAGCGATAGAGAAACTCCTGTCCCCATAACACTTACTCCTAGATCTCGGGACTGATAAAAACCTTTGATCGGAGGATCTTAGCTCTCTGATTTGTGATATGGGGAGGAGTTCTGTTAAGTAGGAGGGGGCGAGACCATTGAGCGCCTTATATGCAAGCATCAGAATTTTAAAATCAATCCTGTAGCTAACAGGCAGGCAATGTAGTGAGGCAAGAATGTCTAGATGCCTGAATTAGCTTTTTACTTCTGGTGATTCATTTTGGCTTCGAAAGTCATAAAAGTGGTGTTCGCCACATTTTCTGCAGTCATCTAAAAGACAATTTAAAAAAAAAAAACATTGGATTTTTGAAAAACGTCATTCCTGGAGTACTCTATTACTCTATCAGCTGATATTACAAAGCAACCAACTGCAGATCCATGCAGAGTAGAAAAGTTACAGCTAGCTGGCTAACCGTAGCTTAGGTTATGGTTAGTTTGTTAGCCGCCCCTGCATTGCTCTTTTTTAATGTTCAGTTCAGTTCAGTTCAGTTCTGTTTAATTTATTTCAGTTCAGTTCAATTTGATTTATTTGTCACATTTAATCATGAATACAACTGTAGTGAAATGCAATCTGTTAGTTCCTCCTAGAATTAGATTCTGAGCTTAAGTTTGATAGACACGTGAAGAGACTGTGCAAAATTGTCAAAATAAATCTAGATTGCTTCGCATAATAAGACAATATATACCTCTTGAGGCAGCACAGCAGTTCATGCATAAGGTGATATTTTCTCATTTATCATACTGTATAACCATGTTGGGCCAGGCCAACCAAACAACAGTTACACCCATTAGGTCATTATATAGACAGGCATTGAAAGTAATGGATCAGAAACTTGTTGGATGGCACCATGTTGTTATTCTACAGAAATACAAGTCTTGTCAGTTCTTCACCTATGAAACTAATTTTTAAGTGTGTGAACAACCTTGCACCAAACAAAATAGTGGTATCAGAACAAGGGGTCTAACAAGTGGAAACTGTAGAGCAGCAAAACATAGAAAAACATTTGGTCAATCATCCTTGTCAGAAAGAGGTATACAACTGTGGAATGAATTACCATCTGAAATTAAAAAAATAACACACACACACACACACACACACACACACACTGAATACTTAAATAACATAGTCACTGTTAATTGTTTTGTCTCTGTTGTTATTGTGGTCTTCTCTTTGACTTAATCTTTGTCTGTATTTTACTGTATTTGTTGTGTTGTATTATTGTATGGAATTACTCCATGCTTAGTAACCTTACACCTACTGTTTTAATTCTAAAAGCCTAACCAGGGAAAGAGGTTGCAAATTAGCCATGGCTAGAAACCTGTATGCATTGCATCTACTTTGTGTTTTACATATGAAGCATTGCCATATGCATTTATCCTTGTCAAATGAATAAGTAAATGAATAAACAAAAGAATGCGCTTTGAACCGATAATAATTTGAAGTAATTATTACCGTTTGTCACGATACATAAGTGAATATCATGGATCACATTAGCTGGTGGAGTAATTTGAGTTAAAATTGACATATCCACTCAAATAGTATTTTGCTAGTTAGTAAGCAAGTAAGCTAAGGTTAAACAGCTAGTTGATACTGAGCTAGAATTGGCTAGCTAGCACAGACTGTGGACCCTCCGCCTCCAGGACACTAACGTTACTACTCCGAGGGGAGAGCAGACTACAGCTCAGACCTTAGTCACTGGAGCAATTCGAATTAAGCCAGCACACACTTCAGCTCCGAGGTTCTAGAAGGGCTAGTGGCAAGCAGCAGCACCTGGTCTAACCCATGTAATGGTAGCAGTTTGCTGATTTAACAGGAGGAGGGTCCGGGATCAGACCCACGGCGCTTTGGTACTTGGTCTTGATCCAGCTGAATTCCAGTAGGTATAGGGTGCTAAGTGAAGGTCCGTGTCCGCCAGGCCACCACTGCAAAATGTAGGCTTTACAGAAACATCGCATGTGGACTCTGGGTTGCGGTGGGTGCCAGTCATTTGTTAATGTTACAGACTCCAGTGGACCAAAAACTACACTGTGCAGCAGTAAAAAAAATATTAGATGGTTGT